GGGCTCAACGGCCCCTTTCGGTTTCTTAGGTACTGCAACGGACGTGGTCCCATCGTGGGGGGTTGCATGGAAGGGGTCATGCTGTACGCGTGATCTTTACGCTGGAAGTTAAGTCTGATGCGTTAAGCTTTCGACGCGACATGTTACCATTAACCCGGAATTTCACCATCGGGCCGTATGGTCAGGGCTCACACAACTAGTACTGCTTACCGCGGACGCTGCTCCTAGAAATACGGCCAAGTTGAGGTTTGGACCTTTTGAAGAAAAAATGTCGCCGTCACGGAAAACTGCGGAGATATATTGGTCCAAAACAGGTGCGCTTGTTTTGCTGTAAATAGCACAAAACTTAAATTGAAGCGGTCTGTTCTGCCCAGTGCGACATTACCCGAGGATATTGGCATGCGAATGTGTAACGCATGTGTAAATAACCTATAATGGATATTGACAGCCCTCAACAACACGGATTATCAGTTTGTGCGAACAGCTTCGTCGCGCTTGCAAGTTGCAATACGGCGCGCGTGATAGAAGCTTCGCTCCCCGCAACATATGCACGTTGTCAATGTAAGGTGATAAGTAGACCATTCCGCAGTACGGATCGAGCCTTGAGTAATGTCGTTTGCGTCAGCCGACCCCCTTAAACCGCACTACACTGACTGCACGCCATTTTACTGAAATTAATACGGGTATCATTAATCGCCAAGATTTGCGTCAATATCCGTCAATACTTTGTACAGGGACTAGAAATCTAGGGCCGTTCATAGGATACTCCAGGGGATTTCCTGTGATGGGAAAGAACACTTGGAACATCTGCATCAACGTTTCTAACATCAGAAACATTACGTCAGCGTACCACAATAGAAAAGCGTTGGACAGTCTGGTTCAGTCTGAACATGAGGTCAGTCAGGCGCTCCAGTTCCAAAGCCTGACTGCAATCCTAGCTTGGTCCTTCAATGTTGCAATGGGTAGTTGCAGGACGTCTATCGGATAAGGCTTTCATTTGTTTGGTGGTCCACTCTTCTGACATGGTTTTTTAAGGAATCTTAAGTATACTGATGCTGCTAGTCTGTTGTCTATTCGTCCTAATTCGTTCCTTTCTGGAAATCCCCGCGGGATACCGTAGTTCCAAGCATGCCTGCGTGTATCACTGGGAGGTGGATGAACTCTTGCAACTTCCGCGCCCTCTCGGCGTGGGGTGCCTGATTCATTTATTAACATTCCCTGCCCTAGTGATCAACCGGCAGAAGAAATCTGTATACGAGGGTAGCAAGTTTGCTTATTTCGGCCCAAAATATCCGATCTGAATTTCAACACCCTCGCTCATTTTCGGCTGCCGACCGTTTTATGGAACTAACGCGAACCCCGTTTCTAAATTGTTTGGGAACGTAAACATCAAAGGTATGGCTTATGTCTGGTTACATTAAGAATGAAATATCTTGTATTTTCGGTGCGCTTTGAATGTCTTGTGACCGGAAACGGATTCATCAAGGTGGTGCCTCTCTTGAGCATATCGCTTGCGGAATGGGTGCCATTGATCATCCTGAGGCATGCACCGCAACACATTCAGGATAATTTCACACTTTCCGAACTATTTCGACGATCTTGTTGAGTTAAGTTAGCAACCACTTGCCTCAAGTGAACAACATAATAATCATAAGGCACCGAACAGCCATGTGGCTCATGGTGTTAGTTGACCTTCCTCCACGTTCGGTCGGAAGAGCTCTGCACCTTGCACCGGCAAAAGCTGTGTATGATATCCGAACGGGCGGCCTCTTGCGGCAGTGGGATCATGACCGACGCGTCCAGAGAGGAAGCAGGAGCACAGGCCCGGAGTCGGGGTGGGACCACACCGGGCGGAACACCTCCCTTCCGGCGGTGGTTTCACGAATCACGGATGTGCGAGGTGGCTCCAGTAGTGATCAGAGGCCTATCGGTGACGGCTGTCGGCCGTTCCCCTGTGGCTGTGGACCAGACATTGGGACCGATTCGAACGCTGTTACCGAGCTGCAGCCGCTGTTGATTGCGCCCCAAATCACCGCGCTCAGGGCACGTACGTGCCGCGTATCGCCCCGCTGCAATGAAAGGCAGCGAGGCGGACAGCACCCGCTGTGTTAGTGTTGTAATGGGACGCGCGCGCGCGGCCTCGCCTGCTGTGCCGCGCTGCTGGCCGTTCAGCTGGCGTGTTTCGGTCGCCGGCGCCGCGGCCGCCTCTGACGGACGGGCTGTTTGCCGCCGGGAGTCTCGGCCCGGTACAATTACCGGGCCGGTGACAGAGGCGCCGCTGAGTCAGCGGCCGGCGAGCCGTAAATAGCGGCGCCGCCCGCCCCCGCCCGTCCGTCGCCGCTCGGGGCAGCGACGGTCTCTCTAGTCCCGGCCGTCCGTCGCCGCTCGGGGCAGCGACGGCCTCTCTCTAGCCCCGCCCGTCCGTCGCCGCTCGGGGCAGCGACGATCTCTCTAGTCCCGGCCGTCCGTCGCCGCTCGGGGCAGCGACGGTCTCTCTCTAGCCCCGCCCGTCCGTCGCCGCTCGGGGCAGCGACGGTCTCTCTAGTCCTCACCCGTCCGTCGCCGCTCGGGGCAGCGGTGGGCTCTCGCTAGTCCGCACCCTTCCATCGCCCCTCGGGGCAGCGACAGGCCCTCCCTAGCCCGCGCCCGTCCGTCGCCGCTCGGGGAAGTGGAGGACGTTTCTTGGCTCCACCGGTCTGGCACCGTACCCAAGGGGCGGACAGCGTCTCTGGCCGTCCCCAGCCTTCCGACGCCGTCCAGGCGAGTGCTGGCGGCTGCACCGAGGCCGACTGGTCTGTCCCGCCGCCGCATCCGGTGCCCGCCATCGAACGCCTCCCACAGGCGGAGAGAAAACCGAGGCGTCGTAGCGGAGGCGACTGGCTGAGAGGGGTGTGCGAGGGTCTGGCCGGCCTTCGGACGTACGGCGTCGCCCGCGTGATCCGGCCGAGCTCGACGACAGACCGGAGCTGTCTGGAGCGGCAGGTCCGCGGCCTGGGGCCCTCCTCTGCGCGTCTGACGGAACCTGACCGGAGCTGTTTGGAGCGGCAGGTCCGCGGCCTGGGGCCCTCCTCTGCGCGTCTGACGGGACCTGACCGGAGCTGTCTGGAGCGGCAGGTCCGCGGCCTGCGGCCGTCCTCCGCGCGTCTGTCGGGACCTGACCGGAGCTGTCTGGAGCGGCAGGTCCGCGGCCTGCGGCCGTCCTCCGCGCGTCTGTCGGGACCTGACCGGAGCTGTCTGGAGCGGCAGGTCCGCGGCCTGCGGCCGTCCTCCGCGCGTCTGACGGGACCTGACCGGAGTTGGCGCACTTACATTGCCGGCCGAGCACAGTCAACGGATTTTCACAGCCGTGTTAAAGTATCGATAGAGGTCCCCTCTGCAGGGTCCTCCGGGAGTTCTTACTTTCGCTGGCTTCTGTTTGATGTCGCCCAAATAGAAGCCCGTCAGACAAGCCTGCTGCCGGAAGTTCTTTATTTGGCCCCATTGCTCTGCATTGATTTTAACGTCACACTCATTATGGACTCCCTCCCCGCAGCCAAAGGTGCTTGAAGGCTACGTCACGGTCGCTGGCTCTTTGAACTTCTCCGTTATTGCCTCTTGCCACTGGTCATCTCCGGAAGCTGGACTCGCTGAAATCCCTCACCCGCGCATCGTCAGGCTCGCCTTCAGCGTCCGCGTCCGCGTCCGCGGCGGCGGTTGTCACCGTTGCCGCCGGGCCTGCCCAGGCGCCGCCGATCTCGGCCGGCCCTGCTTCGGCAGTCCACTTCCGCGGCGGCAGTTGCCACCGTTGCCGCCGTTGCCGCCGTTGCCGCCGGACTTGCCCAGGCGCCGCCGATCTCGGCCGGCCCTGCTCCAGCAGTCCACTTCCGCGGCGGCAGTTGCCACCGTTGCCGCCGTTGCCGCCGGGCCTGCCCAGTCGCCGCCGATCTCGGCCGGGCCTGCCTCGGCAGCGGGCGGGGCCGGCCGCCGGACCGGGGCGGCGGCCGGTCATCGGTCGGCCTTCCGTCGTCCGTCAGGCGACCGGCTGGCACGGGCCGCCGGATTCCGCGCGACGCCGCCGCGCCCGGCGCGCCGATGCAACGTCCGCGCCTGATGGAGCGCTAACCGTCGATGTCGGCCGGACGCCGGCCGGCGCGACGCGACGCGACACACCGACCGCCACGGCGACGGTGCGAGCCACGCGCCGCGGCCCCCGCGGCCGCCGATGCCGGCGCGGATCGGTCGTGACGCGTGAGCCCCACTGGTGCCGTGTGGTGCCGTGTGGTGACGTGTGAGCCCCACTGGCGCCGTGTGGTGACGTGTGAGCCCCACTGGTGCCGTGTGGTGACGTGTGAGCCCCATTGGCGCCGTGTGGTGATGCGTGAGCTCCGCTGATGCCTTGTGGTGACGTGTGAGCCCCACTGATGCCGTGTGGTGACGCGTGAGCCCCACTGGTGCCGTGTGGTAACGTGTGAGCCCCACTGGCGCCGTGTGGTGACGCGTGAGCTTCACTGGCGCCTGTGGTGACGTGTGAGCCCCACTGATGCCGTGTGGTGACGTGTGCTTCCTCTAATATATGGTGGGGACCTTTGGCCTCCCGTGACGCCGGGTGAGGACGTCTTACGACCGCTGTCGACCCATTGCCGCAGCCGTGCCGTTCGGTGACCTGGAAGCCTGCCGGTATCATATAAGGTTGTGCTGACTGCTGATCTCTGGGAAGACAGCCATATGACAGTTGGTGCTGGGTGAACTTAATCTCGGTTCGTTTTCTGGACTGGTGTGTCTCAGCTAGTGTATGCTGGCAATAACCCCACAAGATGTGCTCCCGGCAATAACCCCACAAGACGTGCTACCACGTGTCATAGTTCTGGCGGTCGCCGCATGTACTCAGCACCCTCCCATGTGCGCAGCGCAGAGCCGTGCACCGCTGCGGCCCGCTCCTGGCACCGACACCGGCGCCTGGCGCCGTCTGGTGACCCTGCGCCGCCGCCGGCGAGTCGTGACCTTTGCCGCTGTGGTTTCAGGTGCGGCGCCTGACCTACCAGCGTCTGGACTCGATCAGTCGACACTGCAAGCAGCAGCTGGAGGACATCGAGCGCTGGCTGCTGCAGGTCAACGCGCGTCTGGAGGCGGCCAACAACGACCTGGCGCAGCAAAAGGCACGTCGTCCTCTGTCTCTCGCTCTCACCAGGCGTCCTCGCTCTCTCCGCCCCCTCTGTCTCTCGCTCTCACCAGGCGTCCGCACTCGCTCCGTCTCCACCAGAAAGCGCGCGCTAAACGAGCCGAACGCCGCCGCCGATCAGCTCCGGCCGCGCCGGGCGACTGCGCCGCCGAGCGCAGTCGTGACGTGACGTGACGTGACGTGACGTGACGTGACGTGGCTTAACGTGTGACGTGCGCGCGGCGCAGGCGCTGCAGGAGGAGATCGGCGAGCGCGGTGTGGAGCTGGAGTCGGTGCGCTGGGAGGCGGCCGACCTGACGGGCCAGGACCGCGACAAGCTGGCCACCATCCTGGACGACCTCAGCCAGCGCTGGAAGGCCGCGCAGGACCGCTGCAAGCAGTACCAGAAGGTCATGGAGGCGAAGGCGATCGACGGCCAGGTGAGTGTCGGCTGTCGCACCGCGCGCGGGCACGGCAGGCAGGCGGAGCTCCTCTGGCAGCCGCGAACGGCGCTGGCGTCCGACCAGATGCATGTGCTGCTCGGCGGCCGTGCCTGGAAGGCCATCGACGCTGTAGCGGAGTCCGGAACTGTTGCGACGATCTGAGCCCTGTGATGCGCTGTCGTCGGCTAACGGGGCACGCATGTACCGAGTGGCCGGCTAACGGGGCATGTATGTACCCAGTGGCCGGCTAACGGGGTGCTTATGCACCTAATGGCCGTCTAACGGGCGCTCATGTACCCAGTGGCCGGCTAACGGGCACTCATGTACCCAGTGTCTGGGAAACAAGACGCTCCGCCTTCAGTGCCGACTGCGTCTCACTCGCTGGGAAGCACACACGAGGCCCTGCTGTGCTTCGACCTTGTTGCCTTCGTATTCCAGTGGGCTGTCCAGCGCTCAGAGATTTGAGTGTGCAATGTGTCTGAGGCTCTGGTGCGCCGGGAGTGTCGGCAAATGCTACGGCCCTCGTCGCGTGTTCCCGGGTGTCTGGCCGCTCTCGTGCCGTATGGCCTGATGTGATATTTCGGGTCGCTCCGCGCTGTCCCCTGGCGTATTTCGGGCGTGTCTGTGTGTCTGCGAGCCTCCGGCCGTCCTCGCGGTATGTCTTCCGCCCCACTCGCGCGTGCCCCTGTGTCGCCGGGTATCCGTGGCACGCGGCGTCAGTCTTGGCAAGCATGCGTGAACGGACGCCGTCACTTACCCGCTTCTTTGTGACCCTGCTGGTAGCCCTGGTGGCGACCCGTGAGCGTGACAGTGTCTCATGACCCGGCGCTTGCTGCGACGCCTGCGCCCCGGGACAACACGCGCACTGTCGCGTTGGTGGCGGTGCCTCCTGATCCCGGTATCAGTCGTGTCACCTGTGCGTCCTGACCCTTGGATGACGCTTGCGCCACGCTTCTCACAGGCGGTACCTTCGCCAGCAGGCAGCGTGCCTCCTGCCAACCCTTGCCTGGCCAGGACCGCCGATCATTAGCCCGGCCTGTGGCCCTGGCCCCTGTGCGGCCCTCGTGACCGGTGCCCCCTGAGCCTGCGTCACCAGCGGACCTCCGTCCGCAGGCGGCGCTGTCGCCGGCGGCGGCGTTCGCCGGCCGCGTCAGTGCGGTCCGCGAGGCGGTGGCCACCGTGCAGCGCCAGCTGGCCTCGGCCCCCATCGGCGTCCGGCAGTACGAGCGGTTCAACGCCCGCGAGGAGGCGCTCAAGGTACGGCCGGTCCGGCGCCGCCCGCCGCCCGCCGCCCGGTGCCGGACTCCGAGGTCCGCTGACACCCAGCTGTCGGTGCGCCTCAAAGCCCAAATCATCATCATCATCATCACAGCCGGCGCGCTCTGTGCAGAGCAAGGAATGTCTCCGGCATTGACAACTAACCGCCACCTGGGTTCGGTGGCGCCTCGTCTCGGCGTCCGATTTGCTGACGACGTCCGTAGCTGCGCATACGCGTGATAACGGCCTTCGCTCAGAACAGCTGGCGCGCAACATCGTAGCCTGCTAGCGTTGGCCACTATGTAAGCGTTACGAGTCATTACTGAGCGCCTACACAGCTGTGGTCACCCTGCCGATGGACGGCGGCCGCTTGTGACGCGAGACGTGCGTCTTTGACAGAGCATCCGCGGGGCGATGGACGCGCTGGAGCCGCGCGTGGACGAGCAGCTGACGGACCTGGCATCGCTGACCTCCGCTGACACGGCGCAGCGGCAGATGGCGCAGCGGGCGGCCGACAAGCTGCGCGACGACTGGCGCCAGCTGCAGCAGGGCTACCAGGAGCGTCACAGGTGGGCAGACGGTCACAGCTGCAGCAGGGCTACCAGGAGCGTCACAGGTGGGCAGACGGTCACAGCTGCAGCAGGGCTACCAGGAGCGTCACAGGTGGGCAGACGGTCACAGCTGCAGCAGGGACTACCAGGAGCGTCACAGGTGGGCAGACGGTCACAGCTGCAGCAGGACTACCAGGAGCGTCACAGGTGGGCAGACGGTCACAGCTGCAGCAGGGCTACCAGGAGCGTCACAAGTGGGCATACGGTCACGGCTGCAGCAGGGCTACCAGGAGTGTCACAGGTGGGCAGACAGTCACAGCTGCAGCAGGACTACCAGGATCGTCACAGGTGGGCAGACGGTCACAGCTGCAGCAGGGCTACCAGGAGCGTCATAGGTGGGCAGACGGTCACAGCTGCAGCAGGGCTACCAGGAGCGTCACAGGTGGGCATACGGTCACGGCTGCAGCAGGGCTACCAGGAGTGTCACAGGTGGGCAGACGGTCACAGCTGCAGCAGGGCTACCAGGGCGTCACAGGTGGGCATACGGTCACAGCTGCAGCAGGACTACCAGGAGCGTCACAGGTGGGCATACAGTCACAGCTGCAGCAGGGCTACCAGGAGTGTCACAGGTGGGCATACAGTCAGAGATTTCATCAGGGCCACCAGTAGCGCCACGGGGTAGGGCGAGCATGACAGTCGCAGTCTCCTAGCTCACTCAGTGTGGAACCTCTAGCGGTAGATGTTGCCCCCCATTACCATTGTCGCATAGGTGGCGCTGGTGGGCTGATACTCAGCCAGGCCTCGGCTCTCTCAGGCGGTCCAGCAGCGCCGTGTGGCGGATCAGTGGCGCGTTTTCTGCGATATTGGGTTGTCTGACCGGGCACCGACTCTGATTCTGATGCCGGCGTCCGCTGCAGCAACTGGTGCCGGTACCTATGACTCTGCGCCTGACTCCTCTGACTACGCAGCGTCTGATCCGGCGTCTCTGACTCCGCGCCTGACTCCTCTGAACTCCGCGTCTGACCCCTGTGACTCTGCGTCTGACTCCTCTGACCCCGCAGCAACTGGTGCCGGTGCCGCGACACGTGGCGCGCGCTGCAGGAGAACATGCACGAGTTCGGCCAGTGGCTGGTGACGGCCGAGGCGCGCATCACTGAGACGCGCCGGCTCGGCACCGCCCAGCTGCCGCAGCTGCGCGCCTGTCAGAAAGAGCTCGAGAAACAGGTCACCGTCAAGCACAAGTGAGTGCGCCCGGGACCGGGCTGGGGCCGGAGCCGGTGGCCGACGCTCGGGCGGGGAGCCTGCTGGCCGACGGCAAGCTGCCAGGCCGACTGTGGTCCGCCGGTCCGTCGGGATGGGATACTATACCTTAGGCTGTGCAGTCGATCCTCGGGCCGATTATGTTTTTCATTGGGCTCGTTTCCAGCTGTGTAAATGTGGCCGTCTACGAATTTTCTGTGATCAGGTTCAGTCCGGTCTGATTAGGGTTTGACTTCCGAGCTCGGCCAGTTCGATGGTGGCTGACCTGCCAGCAGGTTCAGTCCGGTCTGATTAGGTTTTGACTTCCGAGCTCGGGTGGGCCGATTTCGATGGTGGCTAACCTGCCAGTCTAATGCGGTCGCAGCCGAAGGCCGTGTTAGCATTTTGTATCTGGTCGGACCCTCACATTATCACGGAGCTGGCGCGGAAATGCATAGCTTCACGAACCCCCGCACGTCTTACGTCTGGTATTTGGAAATTGATTGCTTGTACGTACTCCGTTTTTACGTCGTCGAAGAGCACCCATCTGCCGCTTTGCACCGTTTGCAGCTGTTGCCCCATGGCGCTATATGTGGCGAGACATAACCTTCAGCAATGTAATTCCGCGCCGAAATCCCGCGCTTGTCTGTTCGTCCGCGCTGGACGCCACCGGCACCCCCGCCTCGCGCTCAGGCCGCTCTCGGGCCGATGGCAGCCCGTCTCGGTCGCCGGGCGGCCGCTCCCGCCACATGGGGCGGCCGTTTTCAGCCGACAACGGCGACGGCCTGGGCTTTGTCAACGCGCGGAAGGCGGCCCAAAACGGCGAGCGTGGCGCGAAAATTAGTCGGCCGAACGGCGCGGCGCCGCGCCTCCGTTCGAATGCTTCCGAGAAGTGTGCGGCGGCGCCATTAGGACCGTCCGCCGATAAGTGTTTCCGTCATTGAACGGTTATTGGTGGCGGGCGGCGGGCCGGGTCTGGCCGGGAGCGGTTCTCCGAGGACGGCGGGTGGGTGGGGGTGGGGGTTGCCTCCAGTGACCTCAGGGGGGAGGCGGGCGGCGGACCGGAGCTGGCCGGAGGCAGTTCCCTGGGGACGTCGGGGGGGGGGGGGGGGATGGGGAGTGTCGCCCCCAGCGGCCCCATCAGGGAGGCGGGTGGCGGGCCGGGGCTGACCTGGAGCGGTCCTCTGCGGACGGGTGGAGGATTGTGTCGCCCCCAACGGCCCCGGAAGAGCCCGTCAGCCGCAAGTCAGGAGGGAGGACGCCAGGGGCTTTGGCGCCGAACGCTTGAGAAGGTCAGCTGCGGATCTTTCATCCTGCTGCTGATCCCTTCATCATCGTGACAGCGATCCCCGGTAAAGCTGGCAACTTCGTGTAACTTACCGCGCACATGGCTGGCGTCGCCGCTGATGAGGCACAGGGCCGTGAACTTCGATTTCCGGTCCGCATTTGAACTGATCGAAATCGAGTAACCAATGGCAGCGTGGGAAGGCTGGTGCTGGTCTTTCGCAGGAATCCTTCGGAACCCACGTGACCAGCCGTCTTCCGTAAAGCGACATCGCTTGCCTGCATCGTTCTGACGCGTGGTCTGATGAACAGAGCAGCGGGAAGTGGCCGTGCAGTTTCCGTCGGAATGAAATAAGTGCACTCGGCATGCCTTTGATCACATATATTTCTCTTCACAGCTATATCACCGCACCGTTATTGGTTTACATGACTGGAGTCAAGTGTTTACCATGCCCAAGGCGCACTTTTACCCGCCGCTTTCAGATGATCCTTACCACTAACCGGCCAGTGCAATGCTGGGGTTGGATCGCGTCTCTGGCCGCGTCATGCCGGCATCAGTCCATCCGTGCGGTGTTCGCACGCTGTCAGTGCTGACGGCGCACCTGCGCTGTCGTCGGCGGCTGCCGGGCGGCCGGCTGACCGGTGACCCCGCCCGCAGCGTGTACACGGCCATCTCGTCGGCGAGCCGGGAGGTGATCGGCGGTCTGTCCGCCGCCGAGGCCACCACCTTCCTGGAGAAGATCGAGAACCTCAACAAGCGCTGGAAGGGCGTGCTGGCCGAGCTGGCGGCGCGTCGTGAACGGTACGTCGGCGGGGTGTGGGCGGGGCGGGGCGGGTGTGGGCGGTACCCGGTCGGCCCGCGCCGGGAACGGTACGTCGGCGGGGTGCGGGGCGGGTGTAGGCGGCACCTGCTCGGCCCGCGCCGGGAACGGTACGTAGGCGGGGTGGGGGCGGGTGTGGGCGGTACCCGCTCGGCCCTCGCCGGGAACGGTACGTAGGCGGGGTGGGGGCGGGTGCGGGCGGTACCCGCTCGGCCCGCGCCGGGGCGGCGGCATCAGCGGGACGGCAAGGCGCTTGGCTGAGTGACGTGTCGCCAGGCGCCCCTTTATTATGACGGGGCGTCTCAGGACTATTGGTGACAATGACCGGACGACGATGACCCCATTGACGTCCATAGGTGGGGTTGGGGGGGGGGGGGGGGGTAGACGCAAGCGTCTGCTGTGGAGTGTCACGCCCAGGGCTAGCGGTGAATGAATCGTCTGCTGTGGTTGTTCACCACGGGGGACATTGCTGTGAAAGGTTCGTTCCCAGTCGTACCTCCACCACCTGCCCCCCCCCCTCCCCTCCCTCCCCCGCCAGTGGCGCTCCTCCATGTGGCGGCGCTGCTGCCGGGTTCCCCGGCCCGGTCGTCAGTACAGGCTTATCTCGCGCCGCGGACTGGCGCCGTGAGGCGGTCGGAAGCGCCGCCGCCTCCCTCCGGACGCGTCTGTTTTCGCGGAATGAGTCGCCGGCCCGGGCGGTGGATGGTGACGTTTTATCTGGTTAGCGCCGCGCCAGTGCTCGACTCTCGCCCCCTGCGAAGGACGCGGGCAATTTCCGGCGCCCCGCACTTCACTATGTATGGGCGGCCGGCGCCGGGCGCCCCGGGGGACGGCTCCGACCGACGAGGGTGTGGGCAGGACGCCGCCAGCGAGGAGTTATGACTGGGGTGCCGGCGGAACCCCGCGGGCATGTTGTGGGGGCGCTCGGAAGGTCGTGCCGTCCAAGTGCATAAAGTTTGTCCTGCCGATGGGCGGCAGACGAGCGGGCTGCGCTGCTGGCGCGGAGCTGCTATCCGTATGGAGTGGGTGAAGGCGAGCGCAGTCAGGCCTGTTGCGATTCACCAAGAGTCCGTTTGAGACAGCTGGCAGACTCGGAGAACAGCTGGTGGGAGACGGGTACGTGTGCGGGGAATGCTAATACTTTTGAGTGCGGTCGGAAGGTGAAGACGCCACTGGTGTCCTGCGGCGGTGCATGTTGGCTTAAAACGTAACAGCTCGCTAGGATGACAGTTGTGGGGGAAACGCGCCCCGGGCGCTTCCAGAAATGGGCAATGAAGTGGGTAATCTGGGTAACACCGTGGGCAATCAAGACCCCGTGATTCTAAAGGTTTAAGGCGTAGATCCGCGGCTGCAAGCTTCCGACTGAGTAAACCTGTTGGGACATAATAACAAGCCATGCAGAATCTGTTGCGATAATATACCGGAGGTAAAAGGAAAGATAGAGAAAACACGTCATGTGCCATGCATATGACCGGTAAGATGATAACGCCGAAGGATTGGTGCAAAAAATGAAGCTGCTTAAATGTAGACAACGCATCTGTGATTTGTGTTTACTAAGGACGGTAGCCGTCGCTGGAGGGTTTTGCTGACGAAGCAATCTTATGGCTATAATATAAGTTTTTCAGCCTCGTCTGTTCGCATCTCGCCCATACGGTTTGTACCTCGCAGTGCTGGTCTTGGGGTAGCGCCGCCACATGCTTTGTCGCGTGTTTTGTTCAGGTATTCGGTTAGGCGGTGATGAGGGCTAAGCAGGTCAGGCGGGTAAACGGCGTGCGCATGCCGAGCCACGCGCTGATGACGTCTGTCGCCCCGCCCACCATGCCGAGCCCTGCGCTGATGCCGTCCGTTGCCCCGCCCGCCATGTCGAACCCCGCGCTGATGCCGTCTGTGGCTCCGCCCGCCCTGTCGAACCCTGCGCCGATGACGTGTACCACCCCGCCCGCCATGTCGAGCCCTGCGCTGATGCCGTCCGCTGCCCCGCCCGCCATGTCGAGCCCCGCGCTGATGACGTCTGTCGCCCCGCCCGCCATGTCGAGCCCCGCGCTGATGACGTCTATCGCCCCGCCCGCCATGTCGAGCCCTGCGCTGATGCCGTCCGCTGCCTCGCCCGCCATGTCGAGCCCTGCGCTGATGCCGTCCGCTGCCCCGCCCGCCATGTCGAGCCCTGCGCTGATGCCGTCCGCTGCCCCGCCCGCCATGTCGAGCCCTGCGCTGATGACGTCTGTCGCCCCGCCCGCCACGTCGAGCCCTGCGCTGATGCCGTCCGCTGCCCCGCCCGCCATGTCGAGCCCTGCGCTGATGCCGTCCGCTGCCCCGCCCGCCATGTCGAGCCCTGCGCTGATGCCGTCCGCTGCCCCGCCCGCCATGTCGAGCCCCGCGCTGATGACGTCTGTCGCCCCGCCCGCCATGTCGAGCCCTGCGCTGATGCCGTCTGTCGCCCGGCTTGCCATGTCGAGCCCTGCGCTGATACCGTGTTGTGTCGCCTGGCCCGGCAGAATCTCCACCATGGAGGACGAGCAGGAGGCGCACACGCAGACGGCGGCGCTGCTGGGCTGGACGGAGTCCGTGCTGACGCTCACACAGCAGCAGCTGAATCCCAGTGACGAGGGCGCTCTTATCGTCAACAGCAGCGTGGCCAAGGTGAGCGCCCCGTCCTCCCCCTCCGTCGTCCCCCCTGCCCCAGGCGGCGCACAGTCGCGATGGGTCGCGTCGCGCAGGCCTGGGGACGGGGTCGGGCGCCTGGCCGGCAGGTCATTGTATCGGTACGGCCGCGTATCTGTCGGCCGTTGGCGTGCGACATGGCGGGCGCCAGCGGTGCTGATATCCCCCGGGACTGGGCCGCCCGCCGCGCGGTCGGCCGGCCGGCGCCCCCGCGGGTCTGCTGCCGAGAGCTGCGCGCTCCGCCTGCCGCCGCCACCGCCGCCGCCGGGCACGTCAGGCCGCGCCGTGACGTCAGGCCGTGCTGTGACGTCAGACCGCGCCGTGACGTCAGGCCGTGCTGTGACGTCAGGCCATGTCACGTCAGGCCGCGCCGTGACGTCAGGCCATGCTGTGACGTCAGGCCATGCCACGTGAGGCCGTGCTGTGGCGTCAGGCCGTGCCGTGACGTCAGGCCGTGTTGTGACGTCAGACCGTGCCATGTGATCGACCTTTGGTTGTGCTGTTCTCCCGAACCGAGCCCATTACGGGACCGCGCCTGATGCTATCAGACTATTCCACTCCGACTTTATTCAGCCGTTTCGGCTGTTTTCGCGTCTTTCCTTTCCGGCCGAGCTCCGGTTTCCCAGCTGAAATAGTGGCACTGAATCGGGCCGACTCCCGCTCAACCTGGCGCTATTGTGGGCGCCGGGACCGTCTCAGCTGGCCGCCGCCAGCCAGCGGACGCGTCTGCTCGTGTCGCCGGTTTTTGCCTGGAGATCGTGAGCTGCCGCTTCAGCGGGGATGGTGCGCGCCACTGTGCCCCCGGTGTGAGCTCGCCGGTTTTTGTCAGGAGATGGTGAGCTGCCGCTTGGCGTGGGCGGTGCGCGCCACTGTGTCCCCGATGTGAGCTCGCCGGTTTTTGTCGGGAGATGGTGAGCTGCCGCTTCGGCACGGGCGGTGCGCGCCACTGTGCCCCCGGTGTGAGCGGCGGAAGTGGGCGACTATTGCGTGCTGTTGACCGGCGCCGATGGCTGCCGCAGTCGCGGCTGGAGGAGCTGCCCGACAAGAAGGCCCTGGCCGAGAAGCTGTCGTGGCCAGAGCGACAGTTCCGGCCACTGGACCAGCTCAGCAAGATCAGCGCTAACCTAGAGCGGGTGAGCGGCGCGCGGCGGCCGTCTCGCGGCCACTTAGCGGGATTAACTGCCAGCCGGCCGGCTTATGTTTCTTTTTTGTGTTTTCACTTTTCAAGCGTTGACGCGGCCGTTTCTGTTTTTCGCTCCTACGTTCCGCTGTTTTATAGGCTCTTTCCGAACTTCTCCCATAAGCAATCGCCCACTACCACTTACCATATGATATGATGTATCATGTTTGCTTCAAAGCCGTTCCCTCGCTTCCTTAGGCGGTCGATCCTGTGCCTCCCTCGAAACGGTGTCTTGATCAGCGCCATTGCTCGATGTCAGCCATCATTGTGTCTGTGGAGGCCTAGTGTCAGTGATTCGGACGGGCTTCAGCCATACCCGCATCCCCCGGATGTGACAGCTGACCCGTATAGATACGAATAAGCGGTCAGTGCGTGCGTGTGACCCCGACTTGTTAGTGACACTGACGCATGTGAGACACGCGTCGGTCTCCCTAACGCGTCAATGAGCCAGACATGTGCGTGGCCTAGGCCTACGTGTGACGCTGTCCGGCCTGTGAACTTGACCTTGTGACCTGAAGCCTTGACTTCCTGACCTGTCGGTGACGCTGACGTTCTGACCTGTCCGTGATGGAAGCCCATCTGATACGTGGGCTGCCGGTGCCGTGTGCCGTGACCTGTATGTGACCCTGACCTGACCTGACTTGCGACCTCAGGTGGGCGACACGCTGCCGGGCTACGCGGTCCCGTCTGCAGCAGCAGCTGTCGGTGGTGCAGCGGCTCTACCAGGGCCTGACCGCGCTCAGCGACTGGTCTCAGCGCCGCACCAACGAGGTGGCCGGCTGGGGCACCGACAAGCGTACCGACCAGCAGCAGGTGAGCAGGCGGCCGCGCTGCGCGGGCCACGTGGCACGGGCCGGTGACGGATGCGGCAGGTCTTGGCGCCTGCATGCGCTCACGTGACATGGCCGTGCTGACAAGAGGGTCCGTTCCTTCGTGGTGCGATCGGCCACGGTTCTCTATTCTCTGCGTGACGACGCCAGGCGGGTTTGGCAGGCTCATAAGCCCGGCCTGTCGCCCGGACGGCGAGGCGGGCGGCGACAGCATGAGTGTCGGCCTCCAATCCAATAACGTCCCGCCGCGACGACGGCCGGTGGCTGGGGTGCGGCAGGTCGCGGGTGGGCGGCCGAGTGGGGCTTCAGACGGGTCTGTTTGGGCGGGCTGGCCGCTCGGCCGCTCGGCCGCTCGGCCGTCTGGCAGTGGCTCAGACGCCTCCTGGGACACGCGCGCGGCCTGGCGGCGGGTCACTGGGGGATAGCTAGCTGTTGCGGGTGTGATTGTTCGGCATTGCTGTGTGTTTCATTGTGACCGCCCATTACTGCTCGCGCTGTCCCCGTGCCTGTCGGCAGCTGTTGTGTGCCAGGGTGGGACGGCTCCCCCTCCCTGTGTGTCGGCGCTCGCGTGTCGGGCTGTAACGCCCCCCCCCCCCCCCCTCCTTCGCTTGTGTCGGCAGCTACTGGCGGCCGACCTGGGAGAGAAGCAGCAGGAGTGGCGCGCAGGTCGTGACCCAGTACGAGCAGCTGGAGCAGGCCTGCCAAGCGGCCGGCCAGCCGGTGGCCGAGGACGTCAAGGTGTGTGCAGGTGCCGGAGCGAGCGGTGACGCGGCTGGCTCCGCCGGCACAGCCCGCCCCACGCCCACCCGACGGCCGCCGGCTCCGGATAAGTTCACCATCAATGTCTGGCTTGGTTTAGAGCCGGCATAGCAGCAACATTGTGCGGTGCCTACGCTGGTGTCGACGCTGGGCACTCAGCCGTGCTGTCCGGTCTGGCGCGGCGTCGTGGCGCGGCTCGGGAGCGTGCGCCGGCGACGGCGGCTGGTCGGCGCCCGCCTGGTCCCCTCTGTCGGTTCGGAGCCCGCCAGAGCTCGGAGCTCGGGCGCCGCCGCCCCGTATTGATTCCAATTACCACTGATTGAATCGTTAGACCGCGAGAGCCGCGACGAAAAGTCGCTCCGATGACGGCTGTCGGCGCGCCTAATGAGGCGCGGCCCGCCCGTCTCCGGTGCGGCCCGCGCGGCGCCGCCTGTTGTCGCGCGCGCGGCCGTGACGCCGATCAATGGCCGCCGCCGCAGGGTCGCGTGGACGCCCTGCAGACCGCCTGGCAGCAGCTGCAGGCCGTCTCCGAGGGCCGCCAGGTCAAGGTCACGCCGGCGGCGGCGGCTCCGGCGGCGCGACCGACCCCGGCGGCCGGCCCGCCCGCGCCAAGGCACCGCCACCGGACGGAAAATCGACAAGCCGTTCATCAAGGAAGGTGAGATCCATTCGTCGCCCTCTGATAAGCTCCGCTGTCGCTGTGGTTGTCGGGTGTCGCGGCTGTCGTCCGGCGGCGCGCGTGGACGCGGCCTATGATCACCATGTACACAACGGACGCCCGCGAAGTGCGCTTGGCATGTTAGCGACCTGTGTGCGTGTTACGTAATCTGCTTTCGCTGACGTGGTGGCTCCTCATTGCCACTGACACGCAAATACGCCGCGTGGGATGGGACTGTCGTTATCTTGCCTGTCCAGCGCGTTAGCTGTGACAATGTTGCGCGCGTTAGCTGAGACAATGTTGCCCAACGCATCGACTGATATGGCTGGCAGCTGGTATTGATTTCAGCGGCAGTGTATCAAGGTCAGGCTTTTCCAGTGGGCGAATAATAGGTACGGTGCGGATACTACACAGAAACCTTGCGCGGTCGCCCGTCCCCGGCCTCACTATCTAAGCTAGAAATCTGGCGCGTTCACGCGTCCTTTGCCTTCGTTCGCGAAGTGCTTCTAGTACATTGGCTTGCTCCGCCTGATTAAGCGCCCTGCCACACATGCCCTCGGTCTGAGCTTACCACTGCGACGGTGGTCGGACGCCAGCGTCGATTCCGTTCGCGGACGTGTTGTGATGGGGAGTTTGTACCGTTTCACTCGGCTATGGTGTGTAGCTCGTGATGCTGGCACAATATGCATAGTTTCACGGTTGCCGTGGTTATTTGTTGCATTATCGCGTTTGAACAATTTCCAGGTGACATAAAATTCATAAGCTCCGCAGTTATGACAATGTTTTGTACATTTAAGTGTGACGTTAAATGTTTAAGCTGCTGGGTTTACCATGCATTTACATCTGTCAAAATTCTAGAACCGCACCTCTAAGGCGTCATGAGTGACGACGTATTCGTCGGGTTCATGTCCGCCACATTTGGTGTTCTTGGGCCCGATGACATGGCTTGTCGCGTAACATGCATACCCTCTTCATGCTGTTGCGCGTTAGTCGGTTTTGGACAGCCCATTTTGCAGTCGCCAGCTGTTGCAGACAAGCCTACTGTGGGCGATGTGGCGGTTTACGAAATGAGATCAACTACTTGATATGCAGTAGCTGACTGTAATGTGTTGGGCTGGCTTTTCACATCGCTTTTCATTCAAAGGGGTAGCTTCTTGGCTGCAATTTATGTTGACCACAGTTACTGGCAGTTACCTGCGTTACACCGCTCTCCGCTCCCTTTGGTTGTTAGTAAATTATAGCCGATCTAACCTAGTATTTAGAAATATATGAGCTGCTGCTGATACCGCGAGACTTCCGGCGTTGCTTCCGCGTGGCTCTTGCGTTTTCAGCCATTCCTGGAGGTGTGGGGGAGGGGGGCGAGGGGCGGCAGGAAAGGGTCTGGGGCCCCGTCCGGCGAAGTTCAGAAAAAACATGTCCCTCCGAGGCTTTAACCGCCGCGTGCATACTTATGAAATAAAACGTAAGTACAGTCCGTAAGTGCTTTCCATTTAACGCATATGGATGCATTTTTTTTCGCGCTGGCAAAATACCGAAACCAGTGTGAAATTTAGAATGTCATTTTGAGGATGGAACATGAATGTGATATGAGCTGACAAGTATGTCACGATGGCCTGCCAGCTGCCCCTGGGGTGGATGTAATAATCCGTACGGGACACGGCGTGGAGAGGTCTCCGGAGCCGACGGGCTGACGACCGCGTCGGCGGGCGAAGGAGGGAGGGGGGGGGGGGGGGGAGGCAGACTCACCGTTCTCCAACCGGTGGCAATCCAGTGAGTGGGCCGCCGCCACCGAGCGCTCGTCCTTTATGGCTCGCTGCAGAACCTGACCTTCAGCATGGCCGGACTGCCTTGCTGCAGTGTTCACTGGTGTTTGTGGTAAAGTACCTAAAACAGTATTATTTCGTAGGTTATTTGTTTCCCACCTTTGCTGCTAATGGATCATTAACATGCCACCGAGCCGTATTGACTTGATTTCCTCCAAACACGGTGCAACGACCGGGATCAGACACGAACACTAAAACATAGGGCAGTAACATAGAGGTACATTCGTACTAACGACGACCACCACGCTTGCCTTGTGTCATTCAGCGGCGAGCGGACCCAAGGTGTTGAGCCATGCTGTGGTGGAGCGAGTCACGTGCAGTGCTGGGCGCCTCCCGACACTGAATGCACGGTTCACTGTCCCAGCTGATTGGCGGTAGTCCGCGCCAGTGCGTACGTAAGCGGCGCGCTTAGCCTGGCATGCGCTGGCGTCCTCTGATGGCGGCGGTGACGGCCCTGGGATGGCTGTGCGCCGCTGAGGCGTGTACGCCGCTGCGTGGCCCCGCCGCTCCGGCGCCGTCCTGGCATGAGAAGGCGTGACTGGCTTGCATGAGAAGGCGTGACACGGGCTGCGGGTGACGGCTGCTCACGCCGCGGCGAGCAGTGCGAGGAGACGTGCGTGAGGCGGCTCGCTCAGGCTGGCAGAGCCGGCCGGACCGGAGCGGGCGCGCGGTCGCCGTGCGCTGCCGCCCCGCGCCGCGGTGAGCAATGCGAGGAGACGTGCGTGAGGTGGCTCGCTCAGGCTGGCAGAGCCGGCCGGACCGGAGCGGGCGCGCGGTCGCAGCGCGCTGCCGACCCGCGTCGTGGGGTGCCGTCGCCGTTGGAGTCAGCACGCCGATGGCTGGGGTCAGCCCGCGTCCAGCTGCGAAGCGGCGGTGTGCTGCAGCGCCGCCGTCTGTCGTGGGACTACATTATGCGCCATTAGGAATTTGTCTAATGAACTGGCGAATACAAAATGGTAAAGCCGCTGTTGGCATTTCAGTGCAGCATCCTGCAATACATACAACATGGTTCACCTTCAACGTCAATGTTGTATCAGCATATTGCTATCAAATACGGCCGCTTGGAGTGGCGCAGTCATGTTCTCTTCCGTACGTGAAGGGCCGAGTGCCTCCCTCGAGTTATGGCTGAACGCTAAGCCCGCTGCAAAATGTTCCGTTTGCCCACTTTCTCGCTGTGCCATTACCCCGCACATGGCGTGTTTTGTTTCGTCTGATTCTCGGGTTGCGATTTGCTGTAGATGCTACTTGGCGCCTACCAAATAGTGCCGCTGAATTATGCCATTACGAAATGACTCACTAGCTCATGTAATGACTCGTCCTCTGTATGTCACACTGGGCGCCTTTGACGCTTTGGGCTCGCTGCAAGCTCATCTTACTGTCACTTTGGCGCCTTTCAATAGGTCGTAGGCCAAAGTGTCAGTAGGTCTCGGTTGCGAAAAGACTGGAACACGCTCTCCAGCAGCGTGCTATACTTTGTCGAATAACTTCTCTATTGACCAGAAAGGCTTAGTGTTCTCCCGTGCCTTATATGCCATTAGCCAAATTCGAGCATCATGGTGGCTTCACAGACCGTGCTTACTTGTGGCTGCTGTCTATTGGTACCACGGGTGCCAGCTTTGTCGGGCCGCAACCGACACAGGGGGACTGGGTTCGGCTGGTGTAGGGAGTAGCGTCCTGTCTGGTCCCACTCTGGTAAAGGACCGCCATCCACGGGTGTTCGCACGGGTGTCCGCAGGGGCACCGGGTCCGGCTGGTGTAGGGCGTAGCGTCTTGTCGGGTCCCGCTCCGGTAAAGGGCCGCCACCCACGCAGGGGCGCTGGGTTCGGCTGGTGTAGGGAGTAGCGTCCTGTCGGGTCCTGCTCCGGTAACGGGTGGATAGTGCTAGCTGTTTATTTCAGGGTCTAGCGACCCTGCCGGTACGTGAGCTCCTGCTCCCTCCCCATCAACTGCATTCCCGCATCCGGCCCGCTCGCCACGCCTCATTCTCGTGTTATCGGGGTCGCCATGCCTCCTCTCACGAGTCCCCGGGTTAATGGAATCCTGGTGGCTGAGGGGCGTGTCGTGTGGGTCAGTCGCGACTGGGTCCCAACACTTCACTTTGGCCAGGATACCTTGGGGGGCGCGAGGCCTGTAGGACTCCGTGCGGGCCTAGCAGCTTGTCACCTTCGCCGCATGCCCGATGCCTGTGGCAGGTCTCGGTTTGGGCTTCCGGCTGCGTACGGTGGCTAAGCAGTCAAGGGGTGACTGCGCTGAGCCACGGTCAGGTCGGGGAGGGGTCTCCCCGGTTACACTAGGCCTTGTAGCGACACCGTTGTGTGGTACTTCTGTTTGATGGTATTTTCACATGCTCCATGCCACTAAATGTTTGCGTATGTGTGCGTGCCTAAAATAGGTGCTCGCGAACCACGCGCGCCAGTGACCCTCAGATGAGCGCTGTCGCGGGCCAGACGCGCTTCAGCGGCTGTCATCTGCGTGTGTCCGGTGTGTCTCAAACGCGCGTGTGGCATACCAGCGTGTCTAACGGTGTCGGGCACGCGCGCGTCCTTCTCAGCGCTGAAGCGTGTGACGGCGGCCATAGTGCACGTGGAGCCGCGCGTGTACGTGTCCAGGCTGCTGCGGCCGGGGGCCCGTGAGTGACTGCCGCATGGCGCTGACGAGAAGACGGCCGGATCACGTGCCGTGCCGTGTGCCGTGCGACGTGTGACGTGTGGCGTGTGGCGTGTGGCGTGTGCCGTGTGCCGTGTGCCGTGTGCCGTGTGCCGTGTGTCCAACCGCCGCCAACCCTCGGCTGCGGCCCTAACACGGGGCGGGGGGGGGGGGAGGCGGGGGTGCGGACGCGGGGACTGGACCGCTGCATGTCGGTGGAGCGGGACGGGAGACGGGGCGTCGGCACGGACCGGCGCTCGGCAGCCGGGCGGCGCCGGACTCGGTCCGCCGTGCTGCCTGTGGAGCGGTGTCATCTTGCCGGCGAGGCCGGCGTACGGCTGGCGGTCCGGCTAGCGGTCCGTATCTCCATCACCCATCAGGTCGACTCTCTGATGTCGTGACTGAGCTGGATGCTAAGTCGCCTGCGATTGGACGTAGTTGTGAGGGAATCTTGGTTGTCTGCGGCCCGCGGCAGCCGCGGTGCGTCTGCCACTTGTCGCTCCGAGAGTTCTCGGCGGTGTGCGTCGGCGGCCCGCGGCGGCCCGCGGCGGCCGCGGCGCGGCCTGCCGCTGTCGCTCCGAGAGTCCTCGGCGATGCGTCGGCGGCCGGCGGCGGCCGCGGTGCGCCTGCAGCTGTCGCTCCGGGAGTCCTCGGCGGTTGCGTCGGCGACCCGCGGCGGCCGCGGTGCGCCTGCCGCTGTCGCTCCGAGAGTCCTCGGCGGTGCGTCGGCGACCCGCGGCGGCCCGCGGTGCGCCTGCCGCTGTCGCTCCGAGAGTCCTCGGCGGTGCGTCGGCGGCCGGCGGCGGCCGCGGTGCGCCTGCCGCTGTCGCTCCGAGAGTCCTCGGCGGTGCGTCGGCGGCCGGCGGCGGCCGCGGCTTCGTTGACCGCCTCTTGCCGTCAGCTGACGAGCAGGGCGAGTAATAACTGCCAGGTGGAGAGCCATTGTATCATTGGAATGGTCGTTTGTTGGCCATCGTTCCCGCCGACGACTCTGCTGCGCAAACAGAGCGGTGAGAGCGGGAAAGAGACAGCGAGTGTGCGTGTTTTTGCAAAAGTCAATCGGGACGAACAAGATTGAGAGAGAGAGAAAGTGAAAGCGAGGCAGAAATGCGCCGGACCTCTGACGCCGTCGCTCGCTCCGCTGCGGATGGGCCGAACCGGTGGCGACCTGGGACTCGAGCGCGTCGCTCCTGGCCTCTGTCCGAGCGGTCTTGGCTCGGCGCCCAGACACGGTTCAGCCCGCAGCTGTCCGATTCACGTCGCGGTCCGGTCCGCGGCTGCCCTGCCGCCGACCGCCGCTGCGCGCAGCCGCCGGCAGCGAGGCGTCAAATAATGGCCGCATCGCGCCGGCCCTGGTCAATGTCGCCGCCACCGCCACCGCCGCCGCCGCAGCCGCAGCGGTAGTAGCAGCCGCGTGGCGGTGCGAGCGGAGCGCGCGCGCGGCCGCCGCGTGCCAAGTCGAGCCGGCCGGCCGCGGGACGACGATCGGCGCCGGCAGCGGCCGTGTTTGTCGGCTGTGAGTCAGCGCCGATCGCTGGCAGCGCCGCCGCCGCCGCCGCCGTCCAGCCAGTGCGTCTCGCTTGGGGCTCGGCCGCGCCGTGTGCGCGCGCCCGGCGCGGTGGCGTGAAGTGCGGCGACGCCGGCGGGACAGCGCGGCCGCCGCCGGGCGTCGCGGTGCCGCGCAGACGACACCATGTTCCTCTTCTACAAGGTGGTGAAGAAGGGCAAGGAGCGGAGCCGGCGCGCGGCGCCGCGCGGCAGCAGCGACGACGTGCACGGCGCGCGCCGACACTCGCTCTGCCGGCTGGAGGTGCCGCGCGCCGATGGCCGGCAGCGGCGCCGCTCCTCGGTGCAGCCCTACTACATCGACATCGGCTATGGCAGCGGCCGGCGCAGCTCCGACGCTGGTTCCCGGACCAGCTCCCGCCGCGACTCCAGCTCCCGCCGCGACTCCGAGTCCCGACGCGATTCCGAGTCCCGACGCGACTCCGAGTCCCGACGCGACTCCGGCTCCCGCCGCGACTCCGGCTCCCGCCGCGACTCCGACTCCCGCCGCAACTCCGAGTCCCGACGCGACTCCGGCTCCCGCCGCGACTCCGACTCCCGCCGTGACTCCGGCGCCCGCCGCGGTCCCGACTCCCGCCGCGGTTCCGGCACTGGCTCCGGCTCCGGCTTGCGGCGCGGCTCCTACGCTCCGCGTAACGATGGTGTGACGGCGTGGGGTAACACGCGGCTAACAGCGCGCTCGGTGGGCGGGACGGCGAGCGTTCCGCGGCCGGCGCCGTCCAGCATGGCCTGGCTGTGACTAACTCCGGCGGTGCTTAGGTGCTGTGCGGTCCTTGAGGGCCACTTGCCGTGTGTATGCGATTGTAGAGCTCGTCGCTTCAACGCTGGAATCGGTCACGTGTTGAAGGTGGTATAACACTGCATTTGCACACTAAGGCGTCATGGATGGACCTGGGGAAGTCACAGTTGTGTGCACGACTGTCGTCCGACCCATGGGTGCTATCGATTTGCACTCCGCATGGTCCGTGCATGTTTACTTACGCTCCTTTGCGCTCATAGTGGTCCACCATCAGCAGGGCTTGGTGCACTGTGCCTTCGCGTGATGCAATGGGCCGTAGTGTATAGCTGACGCGGTGCGTGTTGGCCGCCGGCCAGCCTGCCGGGCCGGGTCATGCAGTGCGGTCGGCGGCGCGGCCGCCCGGTCCGTCACGTGTCACGCGGGGCCGGGCTGGACCGCAGGTGTGGCCAAAGGGTGCCGCGCGACTCAACGACGAACGATAAAGCCGACGGCATTTATTCATGGCCGCCGGGGAGCGGCCGCGGGACGGCGGCCATCGATCCCGGGACTTGTCGGCCTCCGGAGCCGAGCCGAGCCGAGCCGAGCCGAGCCGAGCCGAGCCGAGCCGAGCCGAGCCGAGCCGAGCCGAGCCGAGCCGAGCCGAGCCGAGCCGAGCCGAGCCGAGCCGAGCCGAGCCGAGCCGAGCCGAGCCGAGCCGAGCCGAGCCGAGCCGAGCCGAGCCGAGCCGAGCCGAGCCGAGCCGAGCCGAGCCGAGCCGAGCCGAGCCGAGCCGAGCCGAGCCGAGCCGAGCCGGGCCGGGCCGCACGGCTTCGCGGCGCGGCTCGGCTTGGCTCGGCTCGGCTCGGCTCGGCTCGGCTCGGCTCGGCTCGGCTCGGGCTGCTGGCGATGGCCGCTGCGGTGCCGGTCAGCTCGGTCTGCCGCCGTCGCCGTCCCCGGTCGGTCCTTGCACAATATGCTGCCGAGCAGTCTCGTGGCGGTGCAATGCTGGGTCTCCGGCTGGGTGATCTCGTCTGTAGTTATATTTTTCACCTTGCTATGCACTTGTCGGTATTAGCGTTGTAAGTGCAGCGTTTTGCCGTCATCAGTAGCATTGTTTACTGGGAAGTGACTGGTGGCCGCGTCCAGACTCTTGTCGGAAGTGCCGTCGTCCGGCTCCCGCCCAGCCCCGGCAGACCTCAGCGGACCCGAGCAGGACACTGACGCCCAGCGTGGGCCGGCGCCGGCAGCCAATCACGAGTAATCGGCTTTGCGGCCGCGTAAGTGGCCTGATCGCAGCCGACTCTGTCGGCCGGCGGCCGTATTTACACGCGGCCGGTCCCTCTCCCGCGGCCGGCGCTGTGTGCTGAGGCAAGCCTGTCCTCTCCCACAGTCGGCGCTGTGTGCTGAGGCAGCCCTGTCCTCTCCCACAGCCGGCGCTGTGTGCTGAGGCAGCCCTGTCCTCTCCCACAGTCGACGCTGTGGGCTGAGGCAAGCCTGTCCTCTCCCGCGGTCGGCGCGATGTGTTTACACGCGGCCGGTCCCCCTCCCGCGGCCGGCGCTGTGTGCTGAGGCACGCCTGTCCTCTCCCGCGGCCGGCACTGTGTGCTGAGGCAGCTCTGTCCTCTCCCACAGTCGGGGCTGTGGGCCGAGGCAAGCCTGTCCTCTCCCACAGTCGGGTCTGTGGGCTGAGGCAAGCCTGTCCTCTCCCGCGGTCGGCGCGATGTGTTTACACGCGGCCGGTCCCCCTCCCGCGGCCGGCGCTGTGTGCTGAGGCACGCCTGTCCTCTCCCACAGTCGACGCTGTGGGCTGAGGCACGCCTGTCCTCTCCCGCGGCCGGCACTGTGTGCTGAGGCAGCCCTGTCCTCTCCCGCGGCCGGTGTTGCGTGCTGAGGCAAGCCTGTCCTCTCCCGCGGCCGACGCTGTGTGCTAAGGCAGACAGCAGCTGAGAACATGAGACCGAACAGCTGTCGCGGGCGGCAGCTACTCACCAGCGGCAGACGTGGCGCACGCATGCCGGATAGCTGCCCTGGCTGGTGGCTAGAGCGGCGGCGGACGGTCCGAGGCCTGGGAGCACTTCTGATGGACAGTTGCGTCCGCTTAGCGCCGTGACCCGCGGCGGCGACGGCCCTGGAGCTGGCATGCTGGCTGCCGACGGCACCATGTGCAGACCCTGACTCCATCCTGGGGTGGGGACATCGCCGCCACGGTCACCGCCGTCTGGTTCGGCCCGGTGTCTGGCGCTGTTTTCCCGCCGAGGCCGGTCCGGGACGGGACGTCTCTGATGCTGGGCTCGGCCCGGTGCCTGACGCGTCTCTCCTGGCTGTGTACATACAGTCGAGGCGGGGACGGCGCGGAATGCCGCGAACGTGTGTGTTTATGTACACGGCCGCGGCGGCCGGGACAGGTGTGACCTATCTTGGCACGGCTGGCCGTCGGTGCACGGGGCGGCGTACGTCACCCGCCCGGAGGCCGCTCCAGCGGTGCCCGCGTTAGCTGCAGTCAGACAGGCAAATTGTCAGCCGCGCTCCAGCTGATCGTCTCTAAGGTAGCGCATGCGAAAGCAGCGTTATTATTTAATGGCATGCTTTTACTGGAATCTATATGAATGCAGCCCGAGGCATACCAGTACTCGGGGTCCACTTCCCCGCGGCTTGTTGCCATGCATTCCGTACTAGAACCAACACACCCATTTTGGTCACCTTTTTATGCGTGTGCATCTATTTTTTAGTTAACCGTGCATGATGTCGCTGATAATGGCCTGAATTCGTGGTTTACGATGTACGAATCATGTATGCACTTATAAATAAAAGCACCGAATCACCGACAAATGACAGGGTTCACAAACATACCGTCGGCCGCGCACGTAGCCACTACACATTGACACTATACAGCAGCCGAGGCAACCACTAGGCTTCTGTGTTGGCCACGTCCTCAGGAACGCCTCTGGAGAATGCGAACGCCTTCGAAGATGCCGGCAGCTGAGGACGGGTCCATGACGTCGGGCGTTGGCCACGTCCTGGTGGCTTGCATCTCTTGACGCTCTCATCCTTGACGCTTTCACGGGTAGCGCCACTGGTAATAACTGCACGACTGTTGTTGTTGGGTGGAGGCCCAGCCCTGCTGGGCTCCCCAGTGTCGCCGGACCCCTAACAGCGGCTGTGTGTTGCAGAGGCTCAGCCGGTGTCCGCGGCGCCGGTGTCGCCATCGTCACCCGACTCCGCCGACTCGGCGGAGGCGTGGCGGGCGGGCTCGCTGCCGCCCAGCTTCCCTTCGCCTCTGACGCGACACCGCACCTTCAGCCCGTCGGCGCTGGTCGGCAGCCTGGACAAGAGCATCACCCAGGTGAGTGCCCCGCCCGCCCGCCCGCCCGGCATGGAGGGTGAGGCCCGGCCAGGGTCGGTTCGCTCGCCTGCCGGGACCTGCTGCCGGCGCCCCCGCTACTTGCCGTCCCGCGGCGGCGTGTGACCTGCCGGCCGGCGGCGGTGCGTCGGCCTTGCTTTGAGCCCGTCAGAATGCTGGGGGGAGCCCACGGACGTCTCGGAAGCGGGGGTGGGGGTCGGCCGTCGGGTACTGCGCCGTGGAGCCCCGCCCCGGCGCTGTGATGGACCGGCCCGGCCCGGGCGGGACGGCGGGCGCGCCGGTGAGCCCGTCAGAAGTCTAGGGGAGCCCACGAACGTCTCGGAGCGGGGTGGGGTCGCCGTGTACCGCGCCGTGCGCCCCGCCGCCGGCGTGTGGACCCGCCCGGCCGGCGGCGGTGCGCGCCGGTTTGAGCCCGTCGGAATCCTGGGGAGCCCGCGGACGTCTCGGAGCGGTGTTGGGTGGTCGCCGGTGTACTGCGTCCATGCGGCCACGCGGATGATTGCGGGCTATATTGGGGCCGTGTTACTGTAACTGAGCTTACCTGAAAAAAGGCACGGTGCGGTGGTCGAGGCCGCCCCTGAGCCCGCTTTACAAGGCGTGCCGGGAGATGACGCGGCGAGCCGTCTGCAGCCGGCGCGCGCGCGCTCGCCGGCTGCAGATGTCTCTGCCCTGCCACCGCGCGGCGTCCGCCGCTGTGCACACTCCCGATAAATGTGGCGTGGGTGTGAACGCTAGTGAGTTGTACAAGGTGGAACGATATTATCAGCACATGTGCACGGAAATTGGGCAAAAGTCACCTATATCGTGCTTGGGCCTGATTTATTCAACAGCTGTCGGGCTATGTTCAGCAGCTGTTTCGTTCGGAGTTTTCAGTAATAATTCATCGTCCCACGCCTTCCGGTCAGCGCTACTTTGAACAGCTTCTGCCGGCGAATTGTGGCGAAGCCGCGCTGTGGGCCGTGTCGACGCCATGACTGTAACTGCCCTGGGCAGAGGCCACATGCCCGCGGTGTATGTGATGAGTCGATGGCCCCAGCCACCGCGCCGGCGTACTTGGCCGGTTCCCAGAGTGCATCGGCTCCGATGGGTTAAATTGGGACTGCTGGGAACGGGCTGGCTGGAGTGCGCAACTTGGCCGATTCGTAAATCGGCTCATCAGCTGCAGCGAAGAACTCTTTGCGCTGGGTTTGGGCTTCTTGGCCGTATCCGGGCGGCGCTGGCATGTGGAATGTGTTAACAAGCCATTTTCCTTGAACGAATCGCCGTTACCACCTGGCGACATGGCGTTCAGTAATCTAACAAATTTGTCTGACTCGCACTCTGCCGGGCCCTCCTAAAACCATAGTGACTGAATCTTTTGCGTTCGTTAGGGACGCCGCCGACTCGGGGCGGGTTTCAGGCGCCGTTTTTCACGTGCTCTGCGACAGCGCCGTCCGACCGTAGGGTCGTCTCGCCCGGGTGGAACTTACTCTGTCTGCCCATACCCACCGGCAGCTGACCTGGCCTGACCCGACCTGATCTCATCCGCCGGCAGATCACCGACTGGCTGGCGCTCATTACGCGCATGTGTGAGCGCCCCGTGGTGGTCGGCGACGCCGAGGACGTGGCCAAGATGACCGCGAAGCACAAGGTGAGTTTGGCGGCCAGGGCGCGGGCCGCTCCTCCCGACACGCGCGGGCCGCTCTTCCCGGCGTGCGGGCCGCCCCTCCCGGCGCGCGCGGGTCGCTCCTCCCAGCTCGCGCGGGCCGCTCTTCCCGGCGCGCGGACCACCCCTCCCGGCGCACGGGCTGCTCCTCCCCGCGCCGACGGCCTCCCGGATGACGGCCGCGGCCGCTGCCAGTACAGACCGGCAACACAGCCGAAGAGTGGGCCATGGGCTCAGCGTTGGCGCTGTGGCGTGCGGAGGACGGCGGCGAGACAGGTGGACTCATGCGGATGTGGGACACGGGCGGGCGCGGCGGGCGGAGTTGTTTCTCAGAGAGCGGCCCAGCCGTCGTGATCCTCTGACGGGCAGCGGAGGTGGCGTCGGGAGCTCGGTAACTCCTCCGCGCTGGAACTCATGGGAACACTGGGACTCCTGCGGACGTGGACACGAGCGGGCGCGGCGGGCGGAGTTGTTTCTCAGAGAGCGGCCCAGCTGCCGTGAGCCTCTGACGAGCAGCGGAGGTGGCGCTGAGAGTTCGGTAACTCCTCTGCACTGGAACGCCCCGCTAGATTGCTTAAGTCCCCTTACCGGGACTTTGGCCATCATATAAATCACCGTCGCCTGGAAGTTGTTGAACGATACGATTCTGTTTCAGTGCGGGAACTAACAACTCTGCGATTGGGTGCGTCGATTTTTAGCTTCAGAGAACTATGAGCCGTGAGAATCCATGGCAGAGCTGGCTGGCCGTTGTGTTGAATGCGGCGTTCGAGTATCGTCGCGCCATTTTCTTTGCACCAGTATGCCTACCTGCTCCGTCGCTGTCGTTGCGAGACTGTTTCCCGGAGAGGCCTGATTGCGCAGCGCCGAGTCGCGTGATGGGTGCTGGCTGCCCTGGAGGTGCCGAGTTGGCCCGCATGTCAGCTGAGGTGCCGGCAAGTGCTCCAGCATGTAGGGCCCACCCACGACTCACCTGGGCTGGAATCACCCCGACTCCGAATGCGAGCTCAACTCTCTTCGGTCCGGCCGTGCCGACGTCGGCTCGGTAGCTCAGGAGTATGCTCTGAAATCTGAGGCGGTCAGTGCGCGCCGGCGGATCCGCTGGCGACCCGTACAGCGACGGGCTGCAGTTCTTCACTCTGCCGGGACTGGCCGGCAAGTCACCAGGAGAGTTCCAGGTCCGGGCGAATCGGCCCCGGTCGGAGCTGACTCCGGACCAAGGCCGTGATGGGCGCCGCCGGGTGGGCCGGTGTCGCCCGCGGGTGCAGCTCAGCAGCGCGTCACCGCTGACCGCGCCGGGTCACCGCCACCGCCCGCGGGTGCAGCTTAACAGCGCGTCACCGCTAACCGCGCCGGGTCACCGCCACCGCCCGCGGGTGCAGCTCAGCTGCGCGTCACCGCTGACCGCGCCGGGTCACCGCCACCGCTCGCGGGTGCAGCTCAGCAGCGCGTCACTGCTGACCGCGCCGGGTCACCGCGACCGCCCGCGGGTGCAGCTCAGCAGCGCGTCACCGCTGACCGCGCCGGGTCACCGCTGACCGCGCCGGGTCACCGCGACCGCCCGCGGGTGCAGCTCAGCAGCGCGTCACCGCCGACCGCGCGGGGTCACCGCCACCGCCCGCGGGTGCAGCTTTACAGCGCGTCACCGCTAACCGCGCCGGGTCACCGCCACCGCCCGCGGGTGCGGCTCAACAGCGCGTCACCGCCGACCGCGCCGGGTCACCGCCACCGCCTGCGGGTGCAGCTCAGCATCGCGTCACCGCTGACCGCGCCGGGTCACCGCCACCGCCCGCGGGTGCAGCTCAGCAGCGCGTCACCGCTAACCGCGCCGGGTCACCGCCACCGCCCGCGGGTGCGGCTCAGCAGCGCGTCACCGCCGACCGCGCCGGGTCACCGCCACCGCCCGCGGGTGTAGCTCAGCAGCGCGTCACCGCTGACCGCGCCGGGTCACCGCCACCGCCCGCGGGTGCAGCTCAGCAGCGCGTCACCGCTGACCGCGCCGGGTCACCGCCACCGCCCGCGGGTGCAGCTCAGCAGCGCGTCACCGCTGACCGCGCCGGGTCACCGCCACCGCCCGCGGGTGCGGCTCAGCAGCGCGTCACCGCTGACCGCGCCGGGTCACCGCTGACCGCGCCGGGTCACCGCCACCGCCCGCCGCGAATTAGCCTCTTCTGTTTGCTCTTTTGCATACAAATTACCGCACGAATGAGGCCGGTATTGAGCGGAATGAGGCTGCGGCGCCGGCTGTGTGCGGCGGCGGGCCGACACAGACCGGCGAACTCCGCCGCACCGGCGGCGGCCGCTCGCGTGCGCTCGTCGGCCCCGCCGCTTCGGCCCGCTAATTTGTGGTTAGTTCGCCGTCATTGTTCGTCGGGGCGGCGCTGAATACGAAAAGTCGTTCATTAGAGGCGAGGGCGCCTGCCGGCGCTGCGACCGGGGTCGGCTGGGCTTTCCCGGTGACCTGGGTGGCCTACTGCGTCGCCGGCCGCGTCCGGGAGCGGCGCGGCCCGCAGGCCACGTGGGCGGCTGTGCTGCTTTGCTGGGCGTGCCGAGCAGCTTTTGGTTTGCTTCCTCACCATCGACACGTGTGCGGGCATTATGTGCGGCCACGCAGGATGGCACGCTGTCATGGCGGCGGCGCCGGGCCGCCAGTGCCACGGCAGGGATGTGCCGGGCGCTGGGCGGCGCTGCGGGCCGGCCGGCCGGACACCGCCAGCCTGCCTGTGTATGCAGATGCGCGCGGCCGTGTGCGGTAATCCGATACGGGGAGGGAGCCGACCGGTGGCGTGGCGCCGCCGCCGTGGCGCGGTCCCGGCAGTGGGCTCAGGCTCGACGGTGGGGCCGTCGGCTCCGGCTCAGGGGAACGGCGCCACATAGTTGGAAAAGGAGAAATGGTCGACGTGGAAGGCGATATGTGATATATCACTTGTGACGTGTTGAGGAAGTCTAAGGTGGCTTTGCCAAATTGTGTCATTCAGAAGACAGCAAGAGTGTTGTCTCTAAAACAGGCTTGACAAGTTAAGCAGCCAAAGAGTATCGAGAAAACATCGTTGATTTCGCGCTTCGAAACAATCGTAGCATGGCAAGTGCTTTTGTTGTATTTGGTGAACGCTCGATATTCGCCGCATGCTTCTCCATCGCTATCCAACAACTTTGTCTTAGTTTGGGGCTGTGCTGGGAAAGTTGAACAATTTGGAAGTCGCGCCAAACGGCTGTGGTTTGTAGTTGACCGTTTGTGGCTCATGACTAGCGCATCGCGAGGGGTCGGTCAGCGGAACCGTTTGTAACTTTTCAACCGTCCCTTTTCCCAATGCGGTTTGTTAACAAAGGGAGGAGACTACTTGACGGCGCTGGCCTAACCTGCAGATTAAAGCCAGCTTGACCTGGCCGTCGAGTGGCATGAATCGGCAGGCTGCTGTGTGCCTGCTGTAGGCTATAACGAGCCCTCTGTCCGGGACCGAGGGTCAAGATTAGCATGTGTCAGCGCGCGGCGGCGTCCGGCCTGGTCGGTCTTCTTTGGCTTGCTGTTTACTGACGCGGAAGTTCACCGTTTGGGATGATTCGTGGACCCGGCAGTTTGCGTAACGGATTAAGCAGCCATATTGATGACTAATGCAAACATTATTTCGGAGCATGGTAACCTCACAGCCCTGTCAACACTGATAATCCCAGTCGTGGAGTGCGACCTGCCGCACAAATAAGTTTTCTATGCTCTGGGATTATGGCTGGTTTCCTTAGTCGATAATGAAGCGCCCGGCGCGCAGCTAGCAGTGACGGAGATAGCGGGGCAATGAGGAGGCGGCCGCTGATGGAATCAGTCGCTGGTGCCGGGGGGCCTCAGAGCAGGAATGCTACGACAGGCACGATGTCTGGCGACCCATTGATTGGCGCGGCGCACCGCGGCACGGGCGAGCGCTATTGTTCTCGGGTCGGTGTTATTTACCGGGAATAATGTGTAGCCGTCAGCCGGATCGATTGTCTTTCTCCGGCACTCGCCGCGCCCCGCCACTCTGCCTGACGTCTGCCTCCCCAGGCACTTGCCATTCTCCGACACTCGCCGCGCCCCGCCACTCTGCCTAACGTCTGCCACCCGCGGCACTTGTTCAGCACTCCCCGTCTCCTCTTATATCACCTCTGGCCCTGGCCTCCCCCCCCCCCCACCCATCCCGGCCCCGACCCGGGCGCGCTCTGGCGCTTGCTACGCCCCGTGCTCTTTGAGCTATGCCCGTCCGCCCGCCCAGCGCAGTGCGATCGGTCGTCTGTGCTCTTACGCTGCTCTCTGGCGTTGTCCCCGAGCGCCCCGACTGTCAGCGACGTAATGCGCCGTGATGGCTGAACGTAAAACCGACTGAGAGACCTCGGGAAATGCGTTGCCTCTCATTGTCAGAGCCGGCGTCAATTTCGGCTACTTGTGTCACAGAGACACCGATAGGATCCATGCGCGGTTGTCGGGAGTGACCCGGTGCAGTCGTACCGTTCCAGCCCCTTCGCGGCGGCCTCAAGAGTCGCTAGGAAGGGCTGGGTGTGGTAGCATAGGCACCGGCGGGACCCAAAAAGTCATTGGCACGGGTAATTTGGAGATCATAAGTCTGGAGTGCATCGTTTCCAGTCAATATGTACAACGGTAAACGGTACACATCTCTGCCAATGGTGGCATTGTTTCTGATGAGAGGACTCGTCTTTCGCTCCGCTGTGTGCACTAATGGAGTCGAATATCTGCCAGCGTCGCATTTACGAACTTCCACGCCAGTCAAAACGAACGGGAGGAGGAAGGGGGGGGGGGGGGGGCGCTGATAGCAGTTCCCCGCGATATTGGAACAGAATTCAGCTAGAGAAAAAACTGCGTACATTTGATGGCCGTCGAGATTTTGAAGAAGGCCTGCGCAGGCGTTTTTGCATCTGACGTCGTGGTCATGGCCTTTTCGCGTTGGCGACGCCATTTTTGTTTTTTACCATGTTCGCTTATGACTTGCTCGGACACATCGTAT